ATGGAAATTCTCCATTTTATATTCCTCTCTACTCTAAACTTTTCTGTCTTTCTACTGTTCATCCAAACGGGAAGCGAAAAAATAGCAACCAAAACTGGCGCACGAAAGTGAATGGTTAACGGTTGGTCAAACTGAACTGCACTAACGAATCAGCATTGAAGGCAGAGGACAGGGTGCCCGTGTAAACCCCATCACCATTGGGTCCAAGGTCTGATCACAAGTGTTCGTTCCTCCATAGCCCCTTCAGGTGCTCATCCAGACGCCGATGAAAGCAGCGTCTGAAGACTAACGGAAGACCAACTAACTAAATTTTCCGCAAAGCGAGAGGGTGCCTCCGCGTGCGATCCTCTGTCCGTAAAAGGAAGTACTGTTGCAGCTCCGGGCCCATATCACCTCTCAGGATCTTCCTCAGGTAGATGAGATCTCCTCTGAAGCCTCGATACGCAATTGGCAACAGATCAGTAGCCTGTAGATGACCTTCATAACTGATCCCGCGTAGTCCAACAACGAGCAGCAGCACGTTGTACACGCTCCAACTTAGCCAGTTCACCGGCCGTGCAGGAGTACGTCGCCGCACCACCATACTCAAGTCTNGACATGGGGAGCGTATAGCAGCCTGAAAGCGTCCATCGTGAGCTGGTTGAAAGACCGCCGAATAGGCCCCAGAATGCTCCATGCGCTAGCACAGACTCGATAGGTGTTTTCTAGGGTTTTTAGCGATGACGTAACCATAACACCCAGGTCTCGTTCGCAAGATGTTCTGCGCAATGTGGTTCTCTGGAAGTTGTAGACTACCTCACGCCCCAAGTGCAGGTGAGCACACTTTGTTGTGTTGCACAGGTTGCACAGTGGCGCTGCAAGTTTATCTGGCAGCTCCTTCAGGATCAGTGGATTCACACCATCAGGTCCAGGTGACTGGTGAACCTTTAGCCGACGCAGCTCCAGGTTCAACTCTCCGATGGTGAATGGAGTCCAGTTGAGGGCAGTTTCAGTGCCCGGTGGATGTGCCAATGTACTGGAGTTTGGGGTGTACACTGAGGCATAATGTGATGCCTACATCTCCGCTTTGCCCTCATCTTTTTCGGCTAGTACCCCGTCTTTAGCAAGAGTTGGGAGACCAAACGTTGCCCAGCTTCTTCGCCTGAGGTAGGCATACAATCGCTTTGGTGCCTGTACAGAATCCGCTTCGAGTCGTTCCTCGAATCTAGTTCTCTCGCATTTTTCAATGCAGTACCATGGTTCCGAATATCTCGATGTTCCTCATATCCTGCGCCTGTTGCACGCCCACAGTTCTGGATCAAACCACTGCGGGCCCATAGTGTGTATTCGTTGGTGATGGGGTGGGGAGAGTTCCAGTACGAGGTGATGGATTCCATGACGAACCAGCTCCCAGGATTCATCCACATCCTCAGGGTTTCGGGAATCTCAATTTATGAGCGATGCAGCCCGATGGATTTCCGGAAAAGATGAGAGCCACACATTCCGTCCGTCCTGTGGTCTGTCCTTTTGTGGTACGCTACGCCTTCAGTGTATACGCAAAACGGAGAGATCATTGGTGGAAGGAGGTCAATCCTGGTCGTATCTGATTGCCTCGGCGAGAGC